GCGCTGAGCGGGCGGAGAGGGGAGGTTGTGTCATGGCGACGCAAGGTCATGGCAGGGGCCGAGCAGGGCGGGGTTGGCGTGGCGGCGGCGCGGCGCGCGTGCTGGACGAAAGAGGGAGCAGGGGCGGCGGCTGCGGCGGCGGCGGCGCCTCAGGCACCGCGGCTGGGGCCACACAGCTGTCTAGAGTGTTCCCTGGGCGGGCCTGCTCGCACCACGGGGGCCCACGCGCCGCCCAACAGCCCCGTACCGCGCATGCGGCCGCGGATGCTCACAGATGGTACCGGCCCTTGTAGAAGATTGGGCCGCATGGATCAGACGCCCATCCGCGAGCTGGCCGGGGGTGGAAGATTGGCGCCCGGGAGTCGTGATGCGGGTCGTGCGCACTGTGGGGGACCTCAGAGGCTGACGAAAACACGGGGTCAGGGCCTGGAAAATCCATGAGCACTATTGCGACTCGCGGGCGCCCCAAGCCGGGGGAAGCGCTTCACTATCCGGCGTTTCGTGGAGCGCCCGCTGTGTCGTCAAGATCGATTGTACAGAGTCCTGCGCGCTAAAGGAGCTCTAATCATGCAACTAATGAATACGAGTGTACATGTACAACTAGCATCTTGGCGTCTAATCCACCATGCGGCAGGCACGTAATAGAGGGGAAGCTGCTGCCATAAAACATCACACTCGCTGGCCACCGGCAGCACCCACCGAATCCTGTGTCCGGCCGATACGGCATCACTGTTATCATCAATTTTATATGTGGATTTTATCACCCCCGATAGCACCAGTAATCAGATCAAGACGAACCACCTGGTCTACACAAATGCCGGCTCTCCCGGGGACCACGTGGAAAACAAGTGGCATCAGGAGCAGTCGCAGATGCGCCACCAATGAGGCCAGCAGCTGCAGTGGGCGCGCAATTCGCTCGCGCACCACCACCCAGTGGCCTGGACGCGCCTCCCCGTCCCCGCGCTTCCCCCCGCCGCGCCGCGCCGCCCCCCGCGCCGCGGCCGCCCCCGACGCGCCGCAGCCGCTGGCCCTGCGCTCCGCGCGCCAGAGCCTGCTGTCGCTGCTGGACGGCGGCGCGGCGCGCGACGACGCGGAGGTGGCCGCTGCAGTGGACACCCTCATCCGCGAAAACCCCAGCCTCACCCCCGGCCTAGACACCCCAGAAGTCGGCGTCGGCGTGTGGGAGGTGCGTGGAAGGTGCACATCAACCGTGCGTGTCGCAGCGGCCCCTGACCGCCGGCCCCAGCGGCTCAGCACGGGGGCAAGGCGGGCGGCGCGCGCCCCCGGCCGCGGCGGCGCTTGGGGGCGCACGATTGATGCCTCTGCAGGGAGGGGCGGCTCGTACTTCACCTATGTGCCCCCAGGCGCTCAGGTCGTGCTGGCGCGCGGCGACGGGGCGGCGTAGTCCCCGTGCTGCCTGCACCCCTACCGCAGCAAGCCTCAGCCCCGGCCCCTCCTCCCCGCCAGACCGACAGCACCCCTCTGCCTCAAACACCAAACCGTGCCAGGTGTTTTACGCCCCCCACATCTCCCGCATCAGCTCGTCCCTGGGTGCCAAATTCGACCCCATCCGCTACACCCTGCACGCCGACGGCTTTTTTGTGTCCAACGTGAAGTTCTCAGCCCCAGTGGTCGGCACTGGGTGGCTGTCGGCATCTGGCGCACTCACCACCCAAGACGAGCTCACGGTCAAGGCGAGTCAAAGTCAAAGCGGCGGCCGCTCGAGGGCGGGGGCGGGGGCAGCGACGGAAG